GGCGAGAGCTCATGACGCCTAGGACGGTCGCGGACGCGCTGACGCCGCATGTGACGCGGTGCCGGACGTACTATGTCATTCAGCACCCAATGGTCGGCCCCAAGCAGACGCTCGTGACACTGGCCGAGTTTGGCAGCGCGTTGGGCCTTGAGGAACACGACCACCGCGACCTTGTGCGCGCTGTACAGGAGCGGTCGGCCGCCAACCACCGGCGGCAACGCACGAGCTTTCAGACCTACTTTGAGGGTGTCTTGCAGCGTGAGCGGGCCAATGCCATGTCACCGTAAGAGCGTGCCCCGGGGCACACGACTCCTTGGCATCGGTTCTAAAACCACGGTGCACGTTGCCATTTCGGTGCGCTCCATTTGGTAGTGGGACGCTAAATTATGCATCCGGCCTGTCGATCGCTCAAACTCAAAATAACATAAGTGCAAAGTGCACTTTCCAGTATAGGACGTGGCGTTTCAATCCAATTGCATGCAAAACTCAAAACTCAAAACAAAAAAATACACGTGGGAGAGACAGTGCAACCGGTCATCATTTACCCATGGTCGTCATGACGCCCGACGAAGCCGCGCCCAAGAAGCGGCGCATGACCATCAAGCTCCCGATCAAGCCGTCGCAGGACCCGCGGCTCGACCACATCAAGTCGAAGCGAGCGAAAGCCCTGGAGGGCCTCCGCCGGTACACGTACGAGCTCCAGGAGCAAGTGACCAAGCTCAAGCGCGGCCACGTCGCGATGCTGCCCTGGGACGACGTCGCGCTCGCGCTAAAAGAAGACATGCTTGAGAAGGTCCGCGACAACCGCGCGCTCAAGCAAGAGATGGAGCACCGCAAGCGACTCTGCCGCTTTCTCCACGAGTGCTTGGCCCGCGCCAGCCCCCTCGACGTACTATGCTTTGACTCTTGGATGACTGACGTCTCATGCGCCAGTAGGTGGTGCCGAGCCTTGCCGAGGAGACGTGGCGTCACTCGCAGCTCCTCTCAGGCGCCTCGCGCAACCTCGGCTGTGAGTGGATCCTCAACCAGCTCTATTACAACACGGAGCGTGCGATGGCCCATGTGCATTTCCCCGACGACCCGATCCAGCAGCTCGACTGCATTGACGTCAACATTATGATCACGGCCGACAACCTCATTCGCGCCGAAGTGATGTCCCAAGAGTACCTTCCGTACTCGCTCGAGCACGTCTCGGAGGCGTACAGCCTCGCGGCCGAGAGCTTTAGCAAGGCGTACTTGCGCAAGGTCGCGGGGTACCTCGATAGCACCCAAGCGACGTTGACGACCGACAACTTTCATTACGAGTCGATGGTCCAGCGCCTACACAGCTGCACGCTCAGCTACAACACGCTCAGCCGCTTCTTCGCTGCCGGGGATCGGTACGTTCTCGCGCTGCGGACGATTCTCAAGGACGAAGCCAACCCCGTGTCGAGCTCAACGTGGGTTATGAACACCAAGCAATGGTCGGACCAACGAGACTGGTCACGCAAAGCTCACGTATCAATGGTGACGTAGGGTCGTCATTGACCGGCTCGGGCCGCATCTGACGCGCTGCCGGACCTTCTATACGATCGACCACCCGTTCTCGGACGACACGGGGTATGTCCCAGTGTCGGACTTGGCGCGTCACCGCGGTCTGCCCTGCCATGATGACGACGCGGCCATTCTCCAGCGGCTACGTGCGTGGTTTCACGAGACGCATCACCTCCAGCGCAGCTTCTTTCAAATGCACGCGCGCTGTGTGGCCGACACGCTAGCTGCGCGACGCCCGCCGGCCGAAGGGTTTGATGAGTGGTCGGCTTTGATGAGCGACGCGATCTAGCGACGCGATCTAGCGAGCCTTCTTTGTCATTCTAACTTATTTCAAATTCTACTAGCGCGTTACTGTGTAGATGTCCTTTTCTTGTGTCAATCACTCAAACAAAGGCAGCAGAGAATACATTTAAAGACTTGTTTTGGGCGTTGAATCCAACGTCGTCTCATCTTCGATGTTGCGCAAGCAGACCTACCAACGCTGTAGCGACTCGAAGACGACACTGTCAGTGTGCAGCACCACGCCAGCAAAGTCGGCGTGTCTGCTCGCATCGTTAACTAGCCAAACACGCTTTCCACACGCAATCACACTTTCCACACGTAATGACTGATCCGTTGTCCCGACCTACTCGACTCGCGTTCGTCCACTGCAAGTCTCGGCACAAATCGCGCTGTGTCTTTCCACGCGCTGGTTGCATTTGGCCCAAAATAGTGTCTTGGTTGAAAAATCGTGTTGCTGCAGCAGAAGTACTGCTACATACCAAGGGTATACTGGTAATCAAGACAGCATCAGCCAATATGTTCGAGAGGCTTGTCCTGACGATTTGGTGTGATGGAATCCTAAAATATGAATGCCCTGGAAGTAATAGTACACAGGGGACACTCATCGTCTCTCGATACCTCGTGGATGTAGAAAAAGGGTTCGTAATTGCTCGCGCGATGCTTGCTCCGGGTCGTGTCGCCAACCGCTTGCAACACATCCGATCATCTGTCCCATCCAATCAATCAAACAATCCCTTCGCAGACGCTATGCACGTACGCATCGACGACTCGTTCGGCCGCCTCTTGGTTCACGTTTGCTTGTAAGGCGACCGAGCACGTCGCACCGCATATTGCAGTGTCGGCCAAGAGACGAGCAGCTGCCGACTTCCGCATGCCAGTGCACATAGCTCAAGCTTTTTTGAGGCACGGATTGCGTTGCAACTTTCTCGCATCGAGTAGTTATCACTCGGGAACAGGTCGGACATGGCTAGCAATCCGACAATTTCTACAGAAGGGCCTTTTGGATCAAAGAAAGGCGAGCATCAATAGGTCGGCAAAACCGGTGAAGTCGGAAAGATAATGAGCCACAAGCATTGCGCGAGCACCGTGCGATGTCCAACCGCGGGTTTCTGTAGAGGCGGCAAGGACATGGCGTATTTGTTTTAACGTGGCTACTATAGAAAGTCTGCGTATACCAACGGAGGTTAGGTTGAAGAGGCCAAGGATACGTTGACGGCCACGTGCTGCCGTTTCTCGTTTGGAATGGCCACGTGGGCGGGCGCCAAGTTGAAGCCACGCGCTTACCACTGGGTCATGAGTCATCTACGGAAACGTACAGTATGCAAATCTTCTGCCACGTCATGGGCCGCGGAGCAATCAACCGGCCCCTCGTCGGCCTCGATCGTGCGATTGATCGAGGCGATACCTTGTCCAGCCACGCTGTGCGATGTACGCAGGCAACTGCCTGCACGATCACGCGCGGTTGAACGTGGAGCGTCATTCTCGGTGCGGACAGGCCTCGTGTCCGTGTCAAGTGACACCAGCTGCCGGGCGCAGCATCAACATCGTCATAAACTGTGGGATGTTGGCGGCCGCCGCTTTCTTTTGGTAACCAGTTGAAAAACACACGAAATTAGCGTATTTTACGGTATGTTGTGTATATTTCTTCGCGCGATTGACGGCAAACCAGCAGCTTCACAAGCGATGCTATCGCCGTGGGTGCCATGAGTGTCTTTTCCACCGTGTCGACGCATCCGCGGATGTGTGGTACTACTTAATAGCACTGCGAC